TAATTCGTATGCTTCCTCAAAATTTTCTTAATTTAGATCCAATGGTATTTTGGCCGTAAAATCCAATGGGCCCGATGAAATATTTTGATAAAAACAGATTTGTATTCCCATGCGTTTCATTCAACTTATAAAATAAATTTTAGAGGTGGTCGTAACAACGAGGTCAAAATCGCTTCCGGGGAGGTGTGCTCCGTGTCCTAGTTTAGATTTTAAAGATAAAGATGAACATATTAATATTTAAGATCCATGTACTGTAGTTGATAGGACAGATTTCAAGCATGATTTGGAAAATAAATGATATATTTCTTTTCCTGTAAATCCTTAAACTAGCCAAGGCAGTTTACTTAAAACATCAAATCTAAGAGATTTATCATTCGTTTCATTGGTGCAGTTTATATATTATTGAAGATACTGAAATACGGATAAAAATATTGATACAAATAATTATACCATTGATAATGATAATTATCATAGATTAGATAAAATAACAGATAGGACAAAAGAGGACTTTAAGAAATTTCAAATTTTCAACTAACAGAATTTGTTACAGCACCGGAGCACCGGTATCAAATTCACCTTAGCAGAATCATTTGTCAAATATTGTTGAATAATTCTGCTAAGGTGAATTTGATGCCTGTGCTTCAACAAATTTTGTTTGATGAAAATTTGAAATATCTTATAGTGTGTCGTCTATTCAAGATTTCTGTGTGTTTTGTTCACAATAACCCTGAGGCAGAAGCCCGAAGGAGTTACGCGTGACAAGAGCCTGTTCTACGCCGACTACGTGTAACTCCTTTGGGTTTCTGCCATAGAGTTATTGTGAACGAAACACGCAGAATTCTTGAAAAGACGACATCTAGTTTCCTATCTGTGATTTTAATGAATCTTTGATAATTATACTAATAATACAAATAATTAGAATAACAATAATAACAATAGCATACATTTTTATCTAAACATATTTCATTTAGCTATGGCGTTATATTTAATTCTTAGATTGAAATAGATTTAATGCATTAATAAATCTGTATTAATCTTTATTTCATGCTTTTTTCAGACTTTTCATTTTCAGCTTTATAATAAAAAATGGATGTTTTCTCATTTTTAAAATAATTCAACATTTGTTTTTTACTTTATAATCCATTTAGGATAAGAAAAGCAAATAAACATTGTATTTCTGGAATTATTGGTGGGTCTGAATGTTTGTTAAATTCGGGGAATATTATAATTAACCAATTTTCAATTGAAATTGTAAAGAACAAAATCTTAAATTCGCGTTTTGAAATAATAATTAGTATTTGCTTAGGATTTGTGAGCACTGTAAGGAACTAAAGATCTGAGTAAAATGTCTGCAGTTGTTGAGAGGTAAAAACTAAAATTTAAACAACTAGAATTTGGAATTTTGAGAGATACAAAGTAATATTATCAAATTGAGCAAATACTTATGAAATTGAGCACTTGCCTCATACTCTAATATTATAATCCATATATATATATTTGCAACCTGAAATTCTAAGTCAGTAATCTTCTCAAATACTTTATTTCTAAGTTGGTAATATGCAATAATATGTGATTTAAAGACTTTTCACTTTTCACAACTGTACATAGATATTTAAATATTAAATACTTTCCATAACATTAAACATTTCTTTTTAAATAGTTCAACTTAAATACGTTTCAAGTGACTGAAAAATTTACATACAGTGAGAATCCGAAAACTTTGCCAGAGGAAAACGACTTTTAGACTCAAGTTATGACTTTGAATAGTCCAATGAACATGAGACATGATGCTATAATGTCGTCTTCCTAAACCACAGTTTTCTGGTTCTCATTCTATATATAATATGTTTATATTTTTAACCAACGTGAGTGGAACAAAGGTAAGGATAGCACTTACATATTTTACTGTGAAGTATTACATTAGCCTTGAACTGGTTTGATCAAAACCAAGGTTATAATGCAAGGACTGTTAATTGCAGCTGTGTATACTCTGCGTACATATTGAAACCAGTTCTCTTTGGGCGGAATTTGTAAACAAGAATAGATGCATCAGTGTTCGTTTAGTATTAAATTTTGATAATTTTGAAAATCACGTAACAGTTTCCTATGACCAGAATATTTCATTGATTTTTTATGTGAAAGATGGATCCCATGTCAGGCTTCGACATCCGTCTTGTGTTTACAATACCGCCCAGAGACAGTACACTGCAGTACAAAAGATGCGCACACCTCTGAAATAACTTTCCTTGCATTATAACCTTGATCAAAACAATAATTTCGATTGTAAACAAAAGTCAGTATATATTTTCTGGTGAAGGGTAAAAGGAAGACAGGGCTGGGAAAATAATGGTTAAATACTCTACTGCTTAGTCCTGTACAGTTAAATACAAACAAACTCCTCACCTCAATTCTACGCACATTGGTTGTAATGAGTACATTACAATTTATGAGAAAACTGTACACAATTATTTAATAATCCAATATTCTGTAATGAGCACATTACAATTTATGAGAAAACTGTACACAATTATTTAATAATCCAATATTCTGTAATGAGCACATTACAATTTATGAGAAAACTGCACACAATTATTTATTAATCCAATATTCTGTAATGAGCACATTACAATTTATGAGAAAACTGTACACAATTATTAATTAATCCAATATTGTGTAGTCCCCCTGTTCCTGCAAAGATTGGTGTCCCTGAAACAAAAACTGGTGATTATCCAACAGGTTTGTACATTTTTAAAACTATTTTAAATATATTCTAGATTTGATCATCAATACAAGTTGGAATTTATATAAACTGACTGGTGCAGGTTCAATTTGCAAACTGCTTTTCAGCGTAAAGTTTGTCACAAACAGTTTCTATATCATTCAGAATACAATTTAAACAGCCAATATTTATTCTCAATGACAAGTTTGATAAGAGATTGACAAATGGTAGGTTAAACAATGAGGAAAGACTTTTATACTTTTTGTCTCCTTCTTAGATACTCCCCTCCTATACCCTCCACTCCTATACCCTCCTATAATACCCTTCTACCCTCCTTTACTCCCCTCCTATCCTCCCATACTACCCTCTATACTCCCATCCTACCCTCCTATACTCCCCTACTACCCTCATATGCTCCCCTACTACCCTCCTATACTTCCCTACTACCCTCCTATACTCCCCTCATACCGTCCTACTCTCCTAAACTCCCTTCCTACCCTCATATACAACCCTCCTACCCTCCTATACTCCCCTACTACCCTCCTTTACTCCCCTACTAACCTCCTATACTCCTCTACTACCCTCGATCCTATACTCCCCCTACTCTGACTAGCCTGCTGTCTGTCATCAAGAATATTAGCGTAAAAGATGAAAAACATAAAATTTAGTTTAGACTCTGCTCTCTCCTTTAATGTGTCTGAAGTCTTCTTGATTTCAGCATTTTCTAACTGAATCGTGTAGCCGTGACAGAGTTCTTTTAAAATTTCATTTTCATTTCATGAAATTTTGCAAATTTTAAGTTTTGATTCTCTGTCTACATTTTTATATAAGGTGTTATGGGGAAAAATAGGGAAAATGGGATTAAAGTATGATATTTTAGAAAGGGGTATTTTTAGAGTTTTTATTATATGTCTGTATGACAAAAAGTTATGATTTTCTTTGATTGTCTACCTCCACCCCGGACTAACCAGAGTGAGCAGCATTCTGTTTCTTCTATTTGAAATCAAACGTGTACTGGTCTATAACTCAACAATCATTTACTTTACGGATTTGTTTATTCTATACTTTTTCATTCAAAATGCATATACCAACAAAAAGTATTTAAGAAAAAAGGCTAGCAAATAATGTTTAATGGGTCAAATTGTGATCAAAAGTCACAGCTTTCTGGAATATTGACAGAACCGATAAATCCACGTGCCTCAGAGTATCAAACTTGGGTCCTATGTAACTTCTTAGTATATTATATGATGTAGGACATTAAGGATCGCGGTGTGTATACAGAATTTAATTAGTGGGGGGGGGGGTCCGGGAGGGAGGGGGCAAATTATAAAAAGTTGTGGGATTCCAGGGGAAACAAACTTGTTTTTCAGTTATAAAAGGGAAGAGTCTCTTGCTCCCCCTCCCCCCTAATGGACGTTTAAAAAAGGACGATCTTGAGAATTGAGATACAGAAATATTTGAAAGCCCTAGTCTAGAAGTATGTTAACTTGCTGGACTTCCGGAGATTAAATATGCATGGGATGACATATTGAATGTTATCGGAAGATAGATCCATGGGAAAGCATTGCTTTGACGGGGTGGGGGGGGGTATAGGGAAGGAGTTGAAAAGGGTTAACAGGGAGGGCGGGGGGGTGTCTAGAGTCGAAGGGTTAACTTAACACGGGGCGGGGGATAAGTAAGATAAGGGAGTAGGATAGTAAATGGGGGAGGGCAAAATGGTTAACAGAAAGAGGCGTAGGGTATAGGAGGCAGAGGAGGGAAGTGATGGAAGGGTTAACACCTTGGGTTTACGGAGGAAACGGAGGTGAGTGGAAAAGCTAGGCAAGAATAATAAACTATACCAAGTTTAACTATTTCTGTCCATTTAAAAATTATCAACTCAGATCACCAAATTATTATTCTCTCACTTTTTTAATATTTATCTGATCGATTTTAAGATTTGAACTAATGTGTAAAGTATCAAAGTATAAGATAGATAGATACAAATATCTGTAGACGTCTTGTCAAATTAAATCTTATCTAAAAGTAGAATCTATCTAAATTGATAAAACTTAAATATATGTTTTCTGCAAATTATTAGAGGTAAGAGGGGATGGGGACAGCGCCAATTTCCGCTCATTTTAAGAAAATATTTTTAAAATATCAATATATAAAGTCACCATTAGTTTTTAACAAAAATACGTTTTGTTAATAATATTATACAGTTATACCCTAAATGAGCCATACATCGAATTTATCAAATGTCCTCTTGACAATTTTAAAATGGGGTTTATACTATTTTACGTAAATCTGAGTATTTGCGAAAATAAATAAATATTCATGAATCTATATAATCATTTATTACAAATTTAAAATATCTGCAACATTCCATTGTCAGAAAGGGAAGAATACGACATTTGATGAATTCTTTCGATGTATAACTTATCTAGTTCAACTCTTTATTAAAATAGGATACAGTTTAGCCCAGAACTTCAGAGTAATCTAAAAAATTTATAAAATGTCGTCTTGACAATTTTTCAATAGGTTTTATGCTGTTATACCTAAATCACGGTAATTGTTAAAAAAATAATAGCCATAGAATATGGGGGGAATGGGGGAACAGTTTAAAAGAACTCCATATAATTATTCAATTAAGAAACTAAATACAGGGTGTCCCACGAAACATGACATTTAATAAATAGCTATTTTTAGTTAAACAAATCTTTTGCTTAATTATATTTTACTTTGAAATCAATTTTGATATAATATGACTCCCATATAATATCAAAATTGATCTTTTGTATCACACAACTTAACAAATTATGGAAAAAGACATTCTAAACTATTCACCAACTGTCATGTTTAGTGGGACACCCTGTATATGCCGCATTCCCTTATCAGTAGGCTAAGAAGACGACATTTTATAAAATCTTTCGATTTCTTTGAAGTTCCGGCCGTTAAATTTTTTAAGTATAGCATATTTTTAGAAGTGGATTTAAAATGCAGGGTCCTTGCAGGATATTTTTAGAATTTAACACTTTTTAAGATGGAAAATTACATTATCATTCTTTCTCATGTTACTTAGAGTAAGGGTTTAAAGGGTAACCTCGTGTTGAGGTACAGGGTGTCCCAAAAAACATGGGAATTCAGTGACAAATTGGATATCGTCTTTGTTATGAATTAGCATTGTAATACTTAATTTAAAAAGCCATAATATTATTATGTCTGTAGAGTTTATTTTATGAAAAGGGTAAAAGACTGTAAAGATGTGTCTATAATGTCCCCAGGACAATTGTTTACTCTGTTTGTACACTGCAATTTTCTTGTTTTACTAAGTACTACCGTATTCAGTCAAAACATAAACAAACAAAATGTGAACGTAGCAGACGAAACTCTTACAGATTACAGCTTCAAAATTGTATTTTTTATGTTTGAGAGTTTGATGCAAACCTAAAAATACGTATATTTTAGTTAATATCATACCAAATAAGTTTTAAGGCTTTAGTTTTACGTATTTTTACTTTTTTTCGGGTTTTTCTTTACTTAAAAAATTGCCTTTTTTAGAGTTTCAGAGTTTGATACGTATATTTCGTAAATTTCATACCAACTAATTTTTCTAAGATTTAAGGGTTTATTTTACGTATTTTTATGTGTTTCTTGGTTTTTTCTTTACCTACAGCTAAACCCTAAATATTAAAGACAACGAAAGAATTTATCAAATGTCGTCTTGGCAATGTTTCAATGGGGTTTATACTATTTTACGTAAATCTCACTATTTGCAAAAATAAATAAATAGCTTTGAATATGCGGGAACAGTTTAATAGAGCTCCATATAATCTTGTAATAAAAAAACTAAATATCTACAACATTCCATTATCAGAAAGAAAGAATACGACATTTGGTAAATTCTTTCGATGTATTTAATATTTAGGGTTTAACTGTACAAAATTGTATCTTTTTTTTCAAACCTAAAAGTACGTATATTTACGTAAATTACATGTCAAATAATATTTCCAAGTGCAGTCAATATATTCACAAAACCTCAACTGCACAAAAATGCATTTTTAAGTTAGAATTTAAAAATATTTTATGATTTTTTAAGAGAATTGGAATTTAAGATATTTAATGCAACTATTTTGGTAAATACAATGTTTCAAGATTTCTATAATTTTGGAGTAAATTGATGTTTACATAATAATCAATGTTAGGAAATTTTAGATTTTTTGGTAAATAGAAGTTACACTTTAACAGTGTTGTAATAGGTATAATTGTAGTGTAGGACGTATAGCAGATATTGAACACGTAATTGTACATGCAAAGTTAAAGTCATAAACCTTTTAACATTTTGGTTTTAGAACTTAAATATGCCTTAAAAATATGGATTTTTACGTGTTAAAAAACCAAAAAAATTCCTGATTCATTGGATTTTTTTTACATACGCATCTTTACAGATAAAAAATACGTATTCTTAAGGAGGAAATGGTTATAAAAATTTGAATGTCATACGTATGGAAAATACGTATTTTTTTTCTTATTCTAAACCTAAAAATACGTTACGTATAATACGAATGTCATACGTATTTTAGGTTTACCGGTTAGTAGGGATGCCAGTCTACAGTAACAACCAGAAAACTGTGGAATAGAACACGACATTAAAGCAATATTTTAAGTGTATTTTATGTCGTTACATGTCGCTTAAAAATTAATTAAGAAGGCTGAAATAGTCTGTGCACACTGCACAATTGCTGTATCTCATGTACAAATTGGACTATTCAAATAATAGATTGAGTATAAAAATTTCCTTCTCGTGTCAGAGTTTTCTGGTTCTTACTGTATAATAGAATATTTATCTAAAATGACATCTTCAGGCTTGTTATTTTGATCCTGCAACCGTTGATGAACCAGGTTGATGAAGACGACATTTAAACTTATCTTCTCTTAAGGAGATGCTGCTCTTGCTCCATCTCCGGCACCTCTACCTGTAATTGAGGATGATATGATGGGAGAACTCACCATGGATGAACTTAAGGAAGCCTTCAGGTTAGATTTCATTTTGTAGGATCGGAATGAAAGTTGACATCGACTTTTTCAGTAATTTTATCAAATGCATATGACTTAAATAATTCTGTGTCTGAGCTTATTTTAATTTTGTCCTTAATTGTTTATTTCCAAGAAACCAAATTTAACTTTGTAAACATATTATCTGCACTATTTCAAATTCTTGCTAGGTTTATAGGCTTAGCTTAAACTAATATTTTTCAAATCACCATTTTCTCATCGTTCTTTGATGAACACAATTTCACGGATTTTTCTGTTTAAATTGGTGGATTTTTTAAAATAATAAAGTTTACCCCAAAACTTCAGAGACACCGAAAGAATTTATAAAATGTCGTGTTCTAAACCTACTATTAATAGAATGTTACAGATGTTAAGTTATGATTTATTTTTACTGACATACAGGTGAAAATTTGACAAGACGACATTTTATAAATCCTTTCGATGTCTTCGCAGTTTTGGGTTAAACTGTAAATGTCGGCATTTTTTCCAAGCAATCTTTTTTTCAAATTTTTGACCTTTAATAAACTTTTCATTGGGTCATGTGGATTGTCACGGATAGGTTTAGTCGCTTTGACGTTTATTAACAGAATAAAAACTGACTGTCTTGTATGCAAATAATATAATGTTCACTGCCCTTCCAGGGAGCTTTGCTCCCATCTTTCTAGTAATAATTTGAGATCATTATAAAATGTAATTGAAACAAACTTCACAGATTTTCCTCATTTTTTGGATAATTTTCCAAATTCAAAGGAATGTTAATTTCATTATATTAGGTAGGTTCCGTCAAAAACAATTGAGCCAATTGGTTTAGAAATTTCTGCGCTTATTGGATCTATTGATGAGAAATAGCTTGATTCGTTTTTTGAACAAATTTTTGGTTGCTGGCATTTAAGAGGTTCTTTAAAAAGTTTTACTTTTCTGACACTATGACAAATTTAGACCCAAAGAGAAATGTTTTGAAAAAAAAGTGATCGCTTTCAATTATTTTGTACAGTATACGGGTTTGAAATGTTGGAAGTTGACAGTACCATCACATAATTGAATCCTCATGTGTGTGCACTGTGCATGCTCAAACGAACAAGGAAGTAAATATTATTTATAAAAATATATGTTTGTAATTTATGTTTAGATTGTTTGATTATGAAGGGTTTGGCTACATTACAGTGGAAACCTTTAGGGTAAAATATTCTTTTCAAAACTTATAACTTTTGTGTGTAAAATACAGTACGGAATAGAAAAACTGTTCTGTGGTAGGCGATTATATCAATACAACAAAGACGACATTTTTATTCAAGTTTTAAATTGTTGACAAGCTTTTTTTCGAATTCCAAGTTTACAAGTAATCAAAGAGAAGCTTTTTTAATTGACAGCTTCTCTTGACTTCTATTTTTATTTGTATCCATGTGTTTAAACGTTTGATTTAAATAAAAATTAAAAATCGAAAGTCGTTTTCATTGTATTGATATAATCGCCCACCACGGTACATAATACACTTATCAATTTACTGCGTTGTCACTGTAATCTAATAGCTAACCTGATTACTGATTTTTGTGGTTTTAAATCAAAAAACTATTTTAAAGAATATCAAACAGATTGAGAATTAAACTGAAATATGAAATTCAAAAGTTATTTGTTTTTCTCTATCATTCTCTTGCAAAATTAATAAATAGGACATTTTAGACGATTTTGCGGGAGTTAGATGACGACTGGACGGAAGACGATATTTCCGGAATTATCAGCGATGTAGGATTTATTTTAATTTTACAAAAAAAAATACATTTATTCAACTAACAATTTACATTTGCAACAATACAAATGATACAATTTTCTATTGTACTTTGTACTTTTTCTATTGTAAAAACAAATTCAAAAATGAGTTCTTCGAAGACGATATTTATTTTCAGATTGATATTGACGGTTCTGGAACTATTGATTTTGAAGAGTTTGTGAAGATTATGACCTAATTCAATAAATTGTAGTTATATTGTCACAAAACTATATTTTAAAATCTGCATTGTTTTTATTTTTAATAGAGCTTGGAATCAGCTTGGTTTCAAGTTTTGAACAATTAAAATAATTAAAATAATCAAATAAAATTGAATTGTTATACTTACAGTGATAAACAGAAAACTCTGAAATCGGAAGACGAAATTATAGCAATGATAAACGGAATTGATGGTGTTACAAAGCAAATAGTTTACTAGACACTTATGAAATTAAGTGAAATGGGTCTGTTTACACTGCACAATTGCCGTGTCCCATGCTTATTGGAATATTACTCATAATTTGAGTCAAAAGTCGTCTTCCTATTTCAGAGTTTTTGTTTATCACTGTAAGTCTTTGTGAAAAAATAAAAGTTTTGCATATTAAGCTAATGATAATTGCAAAACAACTCTGTGTTTGATCATTTGGATGAATTTCGAAATCTATTAGAATAAAAATTAAGTCTTTTAATTCAAATATATATGACAGATGTTGGAATCCTGACTAAGATATATTGGAGACATGTTGGAGTTCTAACTAAGATATATTAGTGACATGTTGGAGTCCTAACTAAGATATATGGGTGACTGTTGGAATCCTATTTAAGATATATTTTGAGACATATTGGAATCCTGACTAAGATATATTGGGAAAAATATTGGAGTCCTAACTAAGCTATATTAGAAACATTTTGGAGTCCTAACTAAAATTTGTTGGTGACATTTTGGAGTCCTAACTAACATAAATTGGAGACATGTTGAAGTCCTAACTAAGATATATTGGTGACATGTTGGAGTTCTAACTAAGATATATTGGAGACATGTTGGAGTCCTAACTAACATATATTGGAGACATGTTGGAGTCCTAACTAACATATGATGGAGACATATTGGAGTTCTAACTAAGCTATATTAGTGACATGTTGTAGTCCTAACTAAGATATATGGGTGGCATGTTGGAGTCCTGACTAAGATATATTTTGAGACATGTTGGAGTTCTAACTAAGCTATATTAGAAACATGCTGGAGTCCTAATTAAGATTTATTGGTGACATGTTGGAGTCCTAACTAACATAAATTGGAGACATGTTGAAGTCCTAAACTAAGATATATTGGTGACATATGTTGGAGTCCTAACTAAGATATATTGGAGACATATTGAAATTCTAACTGGAGACATATTGAAGTTGTAACTAACATATATTGCAGAAATGTTGAAATTCTAACGAAGATATAGTGGAGACATGTTGGAATTCTCACTAAGATATGTTTTTAAAACATAATTCTTGTCTTTTGAGACACTCCGTAGGTAGAAGAAAGATTCTGTTTTGGCTTCCTCAGCTCTGGAACTTCCGGTTCTCCGGCTCTAACCTGCTTCCGGTTTCCATCTCCTCTACCTCATCCTCCATCCGTCCTCTAAACTTGTCATTACAGTTGTACATGGAAAATGGAAATTCATTTTAAATTTTAGTATTTTAAAAACTAAATAGAAACAAACCAAAACGTAAATGAAGAAAAATAGGCAAATATAAATCAAATATAATTCAAATATAATTCAAATATAATTCAAATATAATTCAAATATAAATCAAATATTAATCAAATATAATTCAAATATAAATCAAATATAAGTCTTTTTCC